GGGGGGGGACTTAGACTAGCTCCCAGAGCTGACACCAGGAAGTATAGTTTTATAAAGATAGTCAAACCGTGAAAAACTCAGGAATGGAGATAAAACAGACCTTGTGTACGGAGGAATCTGGCTGATAAAAATGTCGGTCTTTTTTTTTTCCTGCAATGAATGTCGGCTGTTGCGGGGAAATTCCACGCAGTGATGTATGACATGATTTGGTCATGTGAACAGGGTTTGGGGGGGGGGGTCACGAGCTGGGGTAGTGACTATAAAAACCCTGTGCGAAAACGACTGCCGACCAACCACGTGACCGCGCCTCCACCCCTCGGTGTCGGAGTGAGTATGTTTCAGGCTCAAGTTTCCACTCATTATCTGCAGCTGCTCAGAAATGTGGGAATGATGCCTTTGCTCACATTTCTTTATGGTGACTTCCCGCAGCTGTTTTTTTTCCCCTCGCCCTGCTTTGTTCAATCAGCCATGACAGTAAAAACATCCAAACTGCAGTCAGTCGCATGAAAAATCACATTTTATCCTACAGTAATCTCTTCAATGTTCACATTTTAATGTATTTTAACGTCACTTCTTGTTTGCGAACACCACCAAGCAGCATTGCGTTACATAAGATCAAATGCACGTAGATATGTCTTCGTTTTTAATTTTAGCTTTTAGCTCTTAAATGCAGAAAAGGAGGTTGTTCAGGGTTTGTGAATTTATAAGCATCTGGAAAACAAAACGTGTGAAGTGGGAAAAAAAAAAAAAAAGACACGGCCAGTCCATTACTTACTTCCGTTTTCCTCGAGGTCTAGCTCGATATGCTCCAGTTTCAAACATCCGTAGATTTTGTTATCGACGCAGCCAAAAATAATTAATCCATTCGTTTTCCTCAGTTGCAGCTTCRATTCACGTGCGAACAGTCTGGATCATAGTGCTGAGCTGTCTGTAAACCACAGCGATTGCAGGACCGTTACCGCTTCTTCTTTTCTTGGTTCTGTCAGCGACAAAATGCACGAGTCGACTTTCAGCGCTCAGCAGAAGAAGAAACTGACCATGCCTCTTGTGGGCGGGGCTAAATGTCAGCGGGCGAAGGGTACACAAACCACGCCTCTTTTATTTAYATAACAACGACTGATGACTTCAAGSGGATTCAGATGTGAGGCTATTCATCYCACAATTACTTTACAATAACATTTTATTCAAACATGAGAAAAACGTAGCTATTAAAGACTTCATGAAACTGCATCCTGAAAGATTGATTTTGTCAAAATAAACATACAAAATGCTCATTGCTCTCTCTCACACACACACACACACACACACACACACACACACACACACACACACACACACACACACACA